TAATTACAAATTTTATTTATACGCCGCACATAGTGTTGAATTGTTCTTCCCCCATACTGTGCACCGCGGCCATACGTAGGAAACGTTACATCTTGTGATCTATTTGTGATCTCGCGTCGAATTTTAAACTACGGGAGAAGTACGGTTAACTGTTTTTCTGGTTCCTGTGCAATTAAACTATGGCAATTGAAAATTTGGACAAAATTCTGAATTATTTTCGTAGTTTATATGTGTCCTTTAGTAGTAGTTTATATCATTCCTAACTTTGATTGGATCTCGGGCGCTCAGGTATTATTTTCTTTAAATACCTGTTATTAATAAAATTATTCTGATTTGAGTTATCATTAAAGCTAAAATTATTAGTCAGTTATTAGTAATCAAACAGTTCTATAAAATACAGCCGCGTTGATTGTTGTAGCATGTTAGTAAAGTAAAGTTATAACCTAAATATGTCCACTGCTTTCCGACTTTGTTTATCAAGCCCCTTCACATTTCCGACAGGATTGTGGAACAGTTAGTTTGCCGCGAACATCACACAAGAAACCGAATACAATGCGTAATGATAGTGAGCATTAATTTGTTAATTGTCGGTCAGTAGAGCTATGTGGCCGGCCCATTTCCACTTCAATTTACCGAATCGTTGGGCTATGTCGTCTATTCGGTGTTCTCTCTGTTATAAGAATGAATAACCAGTGCGTGTTCCCAGTGATGACTTATGGATCTGAAGATCCTTTACTGATGTTTGTATGTGGAAGCTCAAGGTCGCTCAGTAAGCTACGCTTCGCTTCCTACGCTTTGTGATAGACTTAAAAATGAGGATAAAATAAGAATATAGTAATCGACATAGTCCAGCAGTGAAACAACTATCGTAAAATGTTAAGACTTAAAAAGTATATCCGGTAATGTGGTCACCATCTGACATGGTAGTCGTCTGGCAGTGCAATCTCTTATTCTAGGCGAGAAGCGTGGTGATTACTACAAACCCTCTATTTGTAAAGTTCAATCTTGTTTCATACCACTAACAATGAAACATATAACGCGTCATATTTTAGTATCGTTTCAACTTTTTTATTTACGATAGCGAATTAAGGGTGTTAAAATGTGAAAATATCTTATAAAACGCGTCCCGTTTTCACATTAAAATTAAACACCTAAGTGCATTCACTTGTACTGTCGTTCCTGAATATTAAAACACCAATTTAGCACATTACATATTCTAAAGCGACTTATTTTTGTAACGCATTTTTAAGCAAAGGTGTACGTGAATTTTTAATAGTTGTGCTAACTCGTGTTGGCCTAGATGCTGAGATATTTTCCCTTATTATTAGCTTTATTTTATTCTGGGCTTTTTAATTTTTATTAAGTAACAAACAAAATCGTGTTAAGGATTAGATTTTTATAAAAAAATAACATGAAATCATCAATCATCAAATATATAGAAATAGTATCAAATTATTTGTTTATCTGTTATCTCTTTTGTTTTATCTAACTGACCATGTAGTGACGGTATAGGATTATCCAGTTCCTCATATCTTCGCGATTCTCGAATTTACTTCCTTCCAACTACACTTCCTCGACCGGGAGCTTCTGCGATCTAAGATTGCATTAGGTGTGTTCTGTTTCTCCTTACGGCCAGCGCCCTCTCTCCAGGCTCAGTAGCCCAAACACGTCCGTCAGGCATCCTCAGCTCTTGCTGCTGACTTCTCCTTAGTCTGCAGCTTCATAATCAACATAAATATTACTGAAGTCACTTCTCTAGGCCGCAAACTCCGCGAGGCCAAGTCTACCCAAGATAAGCTCATTGCGACCATTGAGCATATCAACCTTATTGATGCGATTGGCTCATTTAAACTTTTTTAATCTGACTTCTTTATAAATCATCGAATCATACAATCGAAAGTTAGAGCCTAAACTGTCGCGTTCTTCGACGAAAACGACCTCAGAGATCAGAAGAAAGAAATCGTATAATTTTAACATACCCACGATGTCGAAATTATGCTATTGCAAGAGAACTTCTTGAAACCTAGCATGGGCGTTACCAAAATTGCTAATAACACCCTAGTAAGAAATGATAGGACCAAAGGGTAGGGATACTCCATCTCACGCTAACATAGAAGAATTTGTTTGTAGGATGGGTAGAAGGCACTCACTATCATCCGCCCATCATAATTGCATCAACATACCAGTCACCGCTGAAATCTATAATAGAAGTCGACATCGCGGCCCAGCAAGGGATCTAAATAGTAAACACGTTAGTTGGAATTCTTACGTCAACAACCTATACTAATACATCTTATATAATCTCACAGAGAGACTAAATGTTGATGTTATCGGTCCTGATAGTCTGAATCCCTATTCATTTTCATCAAACTAACAACTGGACATCCTTGATGTAGCGATACTCAAAGGTATCCGCCTTACCATAAACTCTATAGAAACAATAATTGAACTAGTCTCAGGACAGGACTTTGTATTACAGCTGGGCCGGTCGGCAGGTGAGGTCCCTGAGACCGAAATCATTGTGAACTGCCATAAACTCGAGGTCAAACACAAGTTGACTAACTTCTAGTAATTAGACACCAAAGCGGACAAGATAGACTCGTGAGAGGAAGATTAGCCCCCTATCGACTGACCTTACTTCAAAGGTCGAAGAATACTCCTGTGATGTTTGTGTGTCAAGTTATCGGCATTCGAAGCTTCGGGCAGATATTATACAAATAGTTAGAGTGTAGAACAACCTATGACCATTAGCGCACGGAAGATAACAAAACTCAGCTAAGTTATCTACAAAATGAGACTAAATAACGCATAGCCGACTTTAGGAACGACAAGTTAGACGACCTCTTAGAAGGAATTGAACCATCTGGAGACGCCTTCTGGCAGCTATCTAGCTCTAAAAACAGGGCAATCACCTCTGCCAATGCTCCATGCTGCCTCTTATGAGGCCCAACCATCCCGATTTTTGCCTAAAGTGATTTCGAAACAGCCGAATGCCTAGCCGTCAATTTAGCAAGCCAGTGCACTCCAGCCAGCGTACCAACAGATCTCGCTAGATGAGCAAGATCTGTTGGTACGCTGGCTGGAGCTGACTAGAGTTAGAGGCGGAAGTTGAACTTAGGTCTGCGTTACCAAAAGCCTGCTACAAGTTTAGTAATCATGTCATGGCACCGTTCCACGCGGGCTACCGCAAGCTCTGTAGTGCTGCTGTGGCTCGTTGCTACTAAGCATCGTTAAGGTTATGCGGCAACCAACGTCAAGTTAAGATTTTTTATAACATGGCGTGAATACTCCTCATGTATTATTTTATTTTCTTCAAATTAATTTGAAGAAAATAAGTGATATACATGAGGAGTATTTACGACATGTGCTAACACCTTTCTTTTCTTAACATTTGTCAAAGAGCGATCACTTTTATACTCATCTCACAAAGTTAAACGATCGTCCTGAATTTTTTTTTATATCCCTTAAATGCTATCTGAAGTCTGTCGAATACTACCCCAGGGGTACCAACACCCCTGGTATTGGAGAAATCCTCGCTGAGCATCCAAGTCCAAGCTACTCTATCTTCCTGAGTGTGGGTGCTCTGGCTACTCCGCATATTCTAGGTGGGGCAATATTCAGTTCAAAACTAAAACTGCTCAAGGTAAGCATAGCAATAAGACAAAAGTGACCCTACTACGCTATCCGTGAATTTCTGCAACATTAAGGAAATTGATTCGAATCTTAACGCCGTCCACTACCATTTGAAGACTTGCTCTATCTACTCAAGACGCAGATGTCCTCTCCGGCTGATACTTCGTATCTTTCATACCCGGGGCACAAATTAGAATACTCTTTTGTGCCTCGAGCTGGATATTGCGTATACGTCAGAGAAAACTTCTGTTTTTGACGCCTCGGCAGTTTTAAAGGAACGGACCTGTCCATCCTTCGGCTGCGCGTAGACAGTGACAACCATCCCCGCGTCTACGGGTTCTTCTATTTGTCCTATAACGGTAATGCCGACACAGATATCGACACATCGCCCACGTTCAAATAGCTGCAGATGCATGCTACAATAGACCCCATCCACAGAGATCGTGATCATCAATAATTTCAATGCCCACCACACTACAAGGCTTGATTCCCATCTAACTGATAATTCAGGGAATCTGTTTATGATTTTGCCTTGGCACATGATCTGACACAACCGGTTGCTTCGCCTACGCGGATCTCAGGTGTGGACGATTATAAAGCTTTCCTGTTAGACCTTCTGCTGACCTCTCATCCGGATGGATATTAGGTCTCCGGCGATGCCCTGCTTGGCTCTTTGGACCATTGTCTGGTCTCCTTCACGTTGCTACTCACGCTCCCACCATGATTGCATTCTGCAGGTTGTCGCCGTGTTTGGACACAAAAAAGGTCGGCCAATTGGGACAAATTGCGGTCTTTTTTGCATCCTACTCTAGAAGGCAGGTTTGATTTTCGCCGGATTATGCGAACGTTGTTGCTGATGTCGTACTTCCGGGAATTTTACTTTTATACCATCATCTGCACTGTTTGTATCCCTTACTTTAAAAAAAAAACATATAATTTATCCATATTTTACAAATATCAACCTGGAAATTGAAACCTCATTAGTCCAGTACACAAATCAATCAAATTATTGTTGAATTATTTATTTAAACTTTTACGCACAAAGAAATAATACATGCGGCGGCCTTGATGCCTATAAGCATCCCCCCGCCCCTCAGTCAAACACTAGGCTAAGCAGTTATAAGCATATAGGAGTTAGTTTTAATTATGAAACTTTTTCTTGTTTATATAATGTATATTTTTTACTTTTAAGCCCCAGCAACGAATTATTACTATAATACAGCTCCGTAGATCACAGAGACTATCTTTAACATGAAGTAGAAAATAATAGTATTGGCAGTCCTTAAGTGATTCCAAGTATGAAAACCTAGCATCAGTTTAAATTTAATATGTGAGCTCCGATATTATTTTCGATTCCTTTGTTCCAGTGGTGGAAAGTCACAAAGGGGAAAGTCTAGAGCTATTCCATGTTCAACGTTCCGATATGGGCGCATACTACTGCATTGCAAGCAACGGCGTACCTCCCACTGTCAGCCGCCGATATCACGTGCAAGTGCATTGTAAGTCACCTTAATATTGTGTCTAATTGATTTACGAATTAGATAACGATTTTATCGGGATATTAATCATCCAAAATAGTAAGTATTTATTAACTAATTGTGGCCTGATTTCACCAAAACTAATAAATTAAAAACAATCAAAATTATAGAAGAGATCAATTTTCTTCGGATTTTAACCTATAGATATTCTATTTTTGTTTCACGATGCTCATTCAAGATAAATTTATTTTCAGGTACTTTCTCTGTAAAGTGAAATGAGTGCATAAAAAAGAGAGTTATTTCATTTTAATTACATAGTCTGTTTTTCAGTCATTTAACTGAGACTCGTCTAAGATATAAGCTTTCTTAAATTATCGATGAATTTTTAGCACGTACAGATACAGTAAAAAATTCATATACGAGTACGTAATGCTATTTTTCATCGCCTAATATATAAGAGTTTGTCGACATGAAATAATAGGTATCGTTTCTCGTAAGGTATGAAAAAGAGGGTTAAAAATTTCTTGTTCATTTTGTCGTAGTCTATTTTCTTTTTTGTTACTTATTTTTACCATTTCTTTTTCGTTTTGCGAGGTTCTGTTTTTCAATTTATCTCAAAGACAGCAACTTCTTTACTCACTTAAATTATATGCATCAACAATTTAAAAATTGTGACGTTAATGAAATAAACTAGCACTAAAATTGTTATTAGTCTTCATATTCGGAGAATAGAACACAAAATATAACCTTCTTATGACATCTTAAGTTTTATTATTATTTTGTTAAATTGTGATGGTCTAATGAATAAGACTATTATTTGTTTACTTTGCTGTAATATTATTAAAACGACAGCTGACTGATATAGCAGTTTTTGTCATTATTTTGCAGTCTGAGAACTAACTTGTGTTATTAAATATTAGGGACTTGTATTGTTTACTATTATAATGACTTTTCGTTTGTAAACAATGATTGATGAATCATACTGAGGAAAATTATGTAAGCTCATCAAAGATGCTTTAAAATAAAATTTCGTATAATCTTTATTAGGAAGTTTCTTTTGACACAGGGATTGCGTTATAGCTATAGTTTGTTGATTTTAAATATATTTTACATAAACCTTTTATTAATATAGATAGATATAAGATAAATTATTGAACACCAAAACTAAAACAGCTCCTTCACTATTTTCTCATTTCTGAAGTTGTATTGTTAAGTTTCCATGGTTCTAATTAGATATATCGTCGAGCATTTATAAAGAAAGACTATGTAATTAAAATGAAATAACTCTCTTTTTTATGCACTCATTTCACTTTAAAGAGAAAGTACCTGAAAAATGGTAAAAAGTTAATCTATGACGAAATTATATATATATATATATATATATATATATATATATATATATATATATATATACCTTTTGATATGTTTTTCTCTTAAAGCTTTCCTAAAATCCGTATTTTTTTCAGTTATACCGCAAGTAAAAGTAACCAACCAGCTGGTTGGGGCACCAATAGGTAGCGACGTTGAACTTCAGTGCTATATAGAAGCTTCTCCTAAAGCTATGAACTCTTGGTATCGAGAGGATGGTGACTATTATTTTTTTAAGTATTTTTAAAACTTATTTAGCATATAATATTAATATCAAATTATTTTCAGCACTTGTAAACGGCAAAATATTTGAGAATCCGAAACTTCGTGTGATGGAAACGATTGTGAATGAATACTCCTTATGGATGAACTTGACTATAAAATCACTAGCTCCATCGGACTATGGAACTTACGTTTGCGCTTCCGTAAATGCTTTGGGAAAGATGGAGAGCCAAGTTAGCTTACATAGTAAGTGGTAAAATAGCTACGTATGTGAAACAGTTACGCTAGGCGCTTAACTCAAACACATGCACTTATTTTTATGAGCTGTGAGTAGCTCTTAAAACTATTTTTATAGATTAAGGGTGACAAACGAGCACAAAGTCCTCCTGATCCATAGATATCTAAACCTATCCTCGATTAAAAATCAAAATGCAGATGTGTTGCCACCCCTGACTACTAAGATGTAATGCCTCGTTCCAGTTAAAAGGGTCTGCGGTTCTCACTATAAGAAACACAACAGCATTGAGCTTCTATTTTACGCTGGCATTCTAAGAGAGCGTGATCCCTCCCCTTTTGAGACGAGCCTATTTTGCTATAACCGTAATATAGCTACAGCATGGCTCTACCACGTAATAATTCTATTTATAAATTATTTAGCTTGAACATAAAACTTAAACATAAAAACTGGCCATTTATTTCTTCAGGTAGAACTTAATATGTCGTTTTGACCTTTAAATTTTAAATTTTGTAAACACCGCAGCAAAACTGAACTGTCTTATAAAAAAGTGGTTTATCGATAAAACGATAGAATTGATCGAAGAGAAATATTTAAAAATATGGTTTAACATAACATAAGCCCCAGACTAATAATAGGTCCAAATTTTTTTTAATTTAAAGATGAAGATGGTTGAAATAGTAATACTTAGGTCTTATTACAGAACATATAATATTATATAAAGGAAAAAAAAAATCGCAATTAATTTTTTATTTTACAAAGTATGTATGTTTGAAAATGTAGTTAAAACATTAGAAAAATGTTAATTTAATGAATTCAATCAAGCGCGGTTCATTTTTGAAAATTGATTTAATAATTGAGATGATATTATTATAATAAAATAAAGCGTACAATTTTATTTTAATCAACGCATTTTTAATTAAGTTATATTACTGCAACTCCTAAAGCGAAAAAGCTTAAAAGATTAAGGAAGATGCTAAAAAATATTGAAGGATAAAATTCTGTTTAAAATGCATTCCTCGGAACTGATAATGCATCCCCTCATCACATCTTTGGGAAACTTTTGATTTATTGCACAAATAATCAAACACTGCTCAATTTTAAGATGCCATTGAGTCTCGTGCTGTCTCTATCACATTAAGTCAAAATGACTGTGACACCACGAGACTTAACGACGCCTTAAAATTGAGCAGCGTTAGAGTATTTGAACGTTAGTGTTTTTGAAAGAATTTTCGTTATTAGTAAATGGCCAAAGCCTCAGCTGAAAATTTATTATTTTAAGAAAATATACCATAATTCCACTTTCACACCAATTTCCCAAAAAATTCAAAGGCAATTTTTTTTATTTTGAATGCATAAGATATTTAAAATTAAGAATATATTTCTGTATCATTTTTTTATAATTAATCTATTCACAGGACTAGAACTAAATATGAATGGTTTCGTCGAAGAGCCAATGGTGTCAGGTGCAGCGTGGCAGCGTGCTCGAAGTTCATCCACGTTTAACGCGGACCCTGCTGCTTCACATGCGCGACCATTTTGCTTTGCAAGCCATCTGCCCCCACAACTATACGCCATCTTACTAACTACTCTGCTATATATATTAACATTCTAAAACGTGATTAGTTTTGATGTTGAGAGATATTTTATATTAATATTGAAATTACCAAAAAACTTAATCTTTTTCTTACGATGTTGTGATATCACTAACATTAGCAGATAGGCAATTATCATTGCTAAATATAAAAAATATGTTTTTTTTACATCCGAAAAGATAAATATAGTTTTCATTCACGAACGAAATATTTTAGTATGAAAAGGCAACAAATCTGCACGAAAACATTCGGGATGCAGTTTAAAATTAATGACCTACTTCCGCGTAGCTAGAGTCCGTGCAAATAATATATAGATTTGAAGTATGTTATATAACACGTGTCTGTGTCTGTATATTCTTAAATTTTATGGAGAAAATTAAATCACATTTTTTTTTTACAAATAATACTGATAGAATCTTTAATAACAAATATTAGGATCATTACATACTTCAAGAGCAATGTTATAAATTTTAAAGATTGCTCTTGCTATAAATATATATAACATTTTAAAAGAAAAAACTACACAGTTAAAATAAGTTTGTTTACATAAAGAATGATAGTCGTTACGATATTCTTCCATTAGTTTAATTATCATAATAAACTTGAATCATTTCAATTTTGTTATATAAAACGCCTAATATATCTTTTCATGTTTCTTTAATATCTTAGACTGAGATATTAAACTAAATGATTCCTAATGGAGTTTTATTGTTATATCTAAGACTAAAATCTGTTTTTCACGTCTTGTTTAATACTTCAAGCATGATTATTTAAAAGTAATTGTAACTTCATCCAAGATGTAATGAAACGTAAGAAATTGTTCGTAAAAACTTGTTACTTACTCGTTTAATAACAGATAATAATAATTGATATGTTACTTATAAATAAGATAAAGTTAGGTACGATAAAAGATGTAACCATTGACTTAATGAAACATAATCGTTTAAATTTTAACTATAAACTTGTGCTGATAAACATATTATGTTAACTTTGACAATAAATATGTAAAAATAAAAATGCTGATGTGTAAACTATTGATGAATAATAAATGTCAACTACATATTAAAACCTTTATTATATTGTTTTATTTTATTTCAATTTGATTTCAATATATATCCGATTGTTTTCACACCCACATCCAAAAATTTGTTACTATGATGTTTTGAAACTACATTAACATTATCGATTTCTCGTATGAAATAAGCCAGTGTTGTGATAATATGTATAATATTTTAGCACATCGATCTGTGTTATACAAATTATATATATTCATAATTAATACTTTGTGTGAGAACTCTAGTAGTGGTGAGCGTTGGGGTGTGAATACGCAGGCGAAGATAGCCAATATTTTAAGAGTCATTTCCGGGTTCAGTCTTCTTTACAGTCACCTGTAGAAGTCGATGCAGAGATTCATCACCAGACTGGTACACCAACTCATGTGCCAGATCACATCACCGCTAGGGACATCACTGTTTTAATAAATGGCATGATTGGAGGAAAGTCACCTGGTCACGATTGCCTTAGCATCGAGCACTTTCACCACGCTGGTCCGCACTTACCGGAAGCTGGCGCTCTTGTTCACCCTATGTACGAGGCACTTTTATTTGAGAGACACTTGAAAGTACATAATATTAAGTCAAACGATGCACAATTTGGTTTTAGCCAAATTTATCCACTGAGTGTGCAATACTGTGGCTGAAGCACATGTGGGGTATTACACTGTAAGTAATATGCCAGTGTACGCGGCCTTCCTGGATCTTTCAAAGGTTTTCGACCTTGTCAGGTATGGCATGATGTACATTAACATTTTTAGCTATTACGGTACGGTCATAAAATTAATCAAGGTCAGGTGGTATAATGCACTGTTGGACGAGTATAGGTTATAACGTGGTGTAAGGCAAGGGGGTTTAACCTCACCTACGCTTTTTAATCTATATGTAAATGAACTAAATCATAGACTCGGGAGTGTACGTGTGGGCTGCTCTATTGATGGACTCTGCATGAACAACATCAGTTACCCAAACGACATGGTGCTTCTAAGCCCGTCAGTCAGTAAACTCAGACGACTTTTGTTCATATGTGAGGTTTATGCAGAAGCCCAAGGTCTAAAATATAATGTTGCGAAGAGTGAGCTGATGGTGTTTAAGGCGGGCATGAAAAAACATAATTTCGTATTACCTGTAACTTCAGGGGGTGTTGCACGTAAACGGATAACTGAATTTAAGTACCTCGGCTATGTGGTTACCGAAGATTTAAAAGATGATAAGGACATTGAAAGAGAAACGAGGGCCCTAGCTGTCCGCTGCAATATGCTGAACCGCCTGTTCTCACGCTGTACAGCGGACGAAAAACTTATTTATTTATAGCCTATTGCCAATTTCTTATATACGTGTGCCTTATGGGTAAGATATACGCGGCGGGCATACAACACCCTACATATACAATATAATAACGCTTTTAGATTGTTACTGGGGCTCCCACGTTACTGTAGTGAATCAGGTATGCTTCTTGATGCCTACGTAGACAATTTTTCAACACTTATTCGCAAAAGAACTGCGTCACTGATGCATAGGGTTCGTGAGAGCGCCAACAGCATTCTTAACGTAATTAACGAGAAACTCGAGTGTGCATTTTGAGGTACTGGGTGCATGTTCATGTCCTATAGTCTCACAGATCACAGTCTTTTCACATTTTCTTTTCAGATTCACAGTCTCACAGACACAAGTCTCACAGATGTTAAGACAGCTAGGTTAGTGTATTTTAGTTACTTTCATAGCGTAATGTCTTATGGAATTTTGCTATGGGGTAATGCGACTGATATTGAAGCTATATTTGTTTTGCAAAAGAGAGCCGTACGGGCGATTTATAATCTAAATTGTAAAGAGTCCCTTAGAGAAAAATTTAAAGAAATAAACATATTAACTTTGGTATCGCAATATATTTATGAAAATGTAATGCATGTACATAAAAACATAAATAGCTTTAATAAGAATAAGGATGTTCATACCTTAAACACTAGGAACAAACATAAGCTTGTAATGCCACTTACAAGACTCCACAGAATTAGTAATTCATTTATGGGGCAATGTATACGCTTTTACAACAGAATCCCAGAACATGTTCAAAGTTTGTCAATAAACAAGTTTAAAAGTTTTATTAAAGAAAAACTGTACAAAAAGGGTTATTATAATATCAAGGAATACATGAATGAAAATAACCCCTGGGAATAAGGTGATCACCACCATGCAGGTTCTATGAAAATTCATTTAAAAATGTATAAACAAAATTATTTTTAAGTGAAATTATGTTTAAAAAAAAAAAGTCCCGCTGGGTTTCTTGCTGGTTCTTCCCAGGACAGAGGTATTTTCCGAACCAGTGGTAAATAAAATAATGACTTTCAATAAGTATTATGTAATAATCCATATTGAATAAAAATCATTCTATTCTATTCTATTCTATTCTATTCTATACCCATTACCTCGGACAGGCACTCCAGGTATATGAAATAATGTTTATTTAATTTATTACCTAAAAGAAAAAGTAGGTACTAACATAGATTTAATACTTTTTCTGTATATTTTTAACAAATTATGGTCTGCAATAATGGGGTATTTATATAGTATACTAATGTGGTTGGGCTGAGTAAATATATTAAAGGAAATAATAAATAAACATAAATACCTATATATATATATATATATATATATATATATATATATATATATATATATATATATATATATATATATATTTAATATAATATCATAAATAAATAAATAATACATAAATAAATAAAAACCCAACCAGATGGAAACCCTCGGCAGGGAAGACCAAACGGCCGAGGGTTACGGGAAAGGGAAAGAAACCGGTGGACGATGCGGGCGGTATTGAGGAGCACCGCCTTCTGCATTTGAGCTTGGAGCGGTCCGTCACGGAGTCTCAGTCACCTCAGATGACCCGAGAGGCTGACTGAGATTAAACCGTCCGCAGAGACAACTACAGGTATAATTTCGGTCCACCCCACATGTCAGTCACCTCGTGAGCCAGGTCCAGATATTTTGTACGCTTATCTGTTTCGGCTTTCACGAGGTTCTCGTCATACGGAACGGTAATGTCGACAAAAAATATCCTTGACTGTACCCGGTCCATCAGCACAATATCAGGCTTATTCGCAAAATAGTCCTGTCTATGATGGTCCAGTAGAGCCTGGCGTGGTCATTTTCGGGCACAGCTTGCGGCAAGTACTTATAAAACGGCAATTTCCGGTCCACGAGACCGTATTTCAGAGCGAGCTTCTGGTGTAGAATTCTGGCTACTAAGTTGTGCCTGTGCATGTACTCAAAGTACGCCGAACACCCGGAGATGCCATGCCTAAGTGACTCACCGAGATGGGGGCAAGCTCGACAGATGTCGACGGTTTCATCCCTGAGGGTGTATCTCCGATAGTTGTTGGTCTTAATAACCTGAACCTGTATCGGACAGACAAAACCCTCGGTTTCCCCAAAGAGGTCACCAAAACGTAGCCACTGAAGGGAGGCAACTGTGTCTATGAAAGGCTTGTAGTGTGGTATAGCCCCCACGACTGTATATGTATTAGAGTTAAGAATAGAGACAGTATAATTAAAATTATAGAAGCAGCAACACGTGTCTCTATCCTTAACTCTAATACATATACAGTCGTGGGGGCTATACCACACTACAGGCTCATGTAGAGCCTTGTAGAACCTCCCGTGCAGCTCCTCCACCTTCCATACGGTCCTCTGGTCGGAAATGCTCTGTAATGCCGAGTGCCACCATTGCTCGTTGGCTAAGGATGGAGAAGTAAGTCCTTTATCACAAGAAATGACGTCCCTATGGAACGGATCATCCGCTCTCGTCAGAAAGTAATTACGGAGGCTGCACACTTTGCGATTATGCATGGTATGCGCGCTTAAAAAGCCACGCCCACCATGCTTCCGCGGCAAGTACAGCCTCATAATCGACAATCTCGGGTGATGCATCCTATGGGACGTCATAGTAG